GCTGAGCATGTTGGCAGGTGGCTGTAGTCCCAGCTACTTGGGAGGTTGAGGCAGGCTGTACCCAGGAGGCAGAGTTTGCAGTAAACCAAGATCGCGCCACTGCACTCCAGCCTGGCAACAGAGTGAGACTCTGTCTCAAAAAAAAAAAAAAAAAAAAAAAAAAAAACATGTTGTGAGGATTCAGGGGGCCAGAGAGGAAGAAGGCTCTATACACTAAGGAGGTTTGATGGGACGATGATTTCAAGAGTTCCATTAAACAGTAATGGCAAGAAAAAAAGATGTTTCGAAACACTATTTTGGTGTTGTGTCCAAAGTACCTTATCTTCTTTAGACAGAAGAGTTGCTGAAATAGTTTTTATTAAATTGCACTAGATTGAATTTCATTGGGTTGTGGGACTATCTTGTGCTGGGAGTTGTGTTGACTTGGATTGGCTTGTGTTGGGCTGACTTAGGTTACAGGGGATGAGAAGTGGTCTATTGCCTTGTGTTGAATTGTAATTTGTGGTAAATTGTAAGTAGCTGGAATCAATTGGTTTTTGCTGAATACAGTCAAGCTGAATGGGGTTGTAATGTGTTGGTGGTGAGGTTGTGCTAAGCTGGGTTATGTAGGTTTATTTCAGGTGGCTTGACTGAGTTGGGTTAAGTAGATTTGGTTGGGTTTAGTTGGCTTGGCCAGAATGAAACTGATTTGATATCCATCTATTGAGGAGGGTTTAGAACCACGTCCTGTCCATCAAAGAGAACTGAAAAGCTCTATATTTAGGGCCAAAACCCACAATGGAGGGAGCCATTTAGCATTTGAGGAGGTGTAACCCAAACAAATGGTCTTTCCACCTCTGCTAAAATCTGGTTTACTGGCTGGAGAGATGGCAATGAGGGTATTAAGGTTTGGATATTCCAAAGGTCACAAGGTTTTTATGCAATTCTGGCATCTCTGTTGGTCCTATTCCATTCATCCTTTTGCAAAGCATCCCGGAGCTTCCTACATGTGCTGGATGCTGGAGATCAAAGGATAAATAATGCCGCATGCCTGTTCTTAAGGACCTAACGATGCCACACAATGACTGTTTACTATAATATTGTCTCTCTTGAGCAAACTCTTCATCCTCAAATCTGGCTACCAGCGAAGCAACTGCCAACACTCTGAGCCCAGGACACTGAAACAATGGAGAATATTCACGAGCACAAAAAATACTTTTGGCCAGGAGTGGTGGCTCCCAGCACTCTGGGAGGCCAAGGCAGGCTGGTCACTTGAGCTCAGAAGTCCAACAGCAGCCTGGGCAACCTGGTGAAACCCCATCTCTACAAAAAGAATACAAAGCTAGCCGGGTATGGCATGGGCCTGTAGTCCCAGCTACTCGGTTGGCTTCAGCCTCCGAGGCAAAGCATGCAGAAAGCCAAGATCATGCCGCTACACTCCAGCCTAGGCAATAGAGCCAGACCCTGTCTCAAAAACAAAAAAAACACACACACACGCACAAACAAAACACACTTTCTAAACAAATTAATTTAAAAAAAAAAACCTCTAGCAAGTCTGATTAAGGAAAAAAATGGAGAACGGAAGTGAGAAGGGAGAGTTATACGCCATAAGTCTTTTAACTAGGAAGACAGCAGAGTTTTTACAAATTATTTCAAAAATACTACAAGCAGCATACCACTGATACATTTGAAACTTAAATAAAATGAATAATTTGAAAGAAATTAAAATGGCCAAAATTGGCACAAGAAGAAAAAACGTTAGACTTAAAAGTCTAATATCCATTAAAAACTGTATGAAATCTATATTATCCCCTCTCCCGACCATTGCAACCTGGGAGCTTAAAATTTTAGAAACCTGTTATGTCCAACCTTTAAGGTACAGGTAAATCCAATGGTCTGCACATTACTTTAAAGAATAAGAAAGGTGGGGCATAATCCAAATTCATTTGAAGCTAATAAGACCTTTGTACCAAAATCCACTAAGAACAATACAATTAAAGAAATCTATATAAAAAAAAGACTTGAAAGTATGAAATGGAAAACTAGGAAGTCAGATTCAGTAATATTTTAGAAAATATATTATGAAAGGATAGGATGGATCTAAGGAATGCAAGGATGGTTCCATATCAGAAAAACTGTTAATACACCACATTAAAAGAGAAATTCACATAATTTGCTAAATATATTCTGAAAAAATTCAATCCTCATTTGTAATTCAAATTGTCATTAGAAGAGGAATTGAAGGGAACTTTCCAAGAGAATCTATAGATAAGGTTTTAGGACTAATAAGAACAGTCAGTGAGATTGCAAAATATAAGATCAGCATTCAAAAATCAGCAGTGGCTTCTGCTTTTGAGAGAGATATAATAGGTCACGGTAAGACAGCATTTGTGACAGATAGACAACACTTGATGAATACAGAAATAGCATTTTTAAGGAAACCTAGAACTGCGAAAGCAAAGAAAAAAAGTGTAAGGCTACAGTTCCAGAATAATAAGAACCATTCAGAAATGGGCAGTTTCAACCTGGAGGCATTACTGATATTGGGCTCAGGCTGAGCATCTTCACTCGCCCAGACAGAGGGTAACTGCTGGGGCAAATCCAAAACAGTGGAGTTCAAGCGTGGGCAGTGGGAGTGGTCTGCCCGAGGTGCAGGAAACACACGCACACAGAGATGGTGGAGATCTTACAAATGATAATAGGGCCGGCTGTGGTGGCTCACGCTTGTAATCTCAGCACTTTGGGAGGCCAAGGCTGGTGGATCACCTGAGGTCCAGAGTTCAAGACCAGGCAGACCAACATGGAGAAACTCTGTCTCTAGCAAAAATACAAAATTAGACAGGCGTGGTGGCGCATGCTTGTAATCCCAGTTACTCTGGAGATTGAGGCAGGAGAATCACTTGAACTCGGCAGGTGGAAGCTGCAGTGAGCTGAGATCATGCCACTGCACTCCAGCCTGGGCAATAAAAGAGAAACTCCATCTCAAAAAAAAAAAAAAAAAGTAAGAAAAAAAGAAACAATGATAAAACTAACCGTCAATCTACTTTTCATTATCACCATGAGTCAGTAATTCTAAACAATTACAGAGATAAAATGCTCCCGTCCCCCAATTATTTTTTTATAAGTTCTAAACAATTGCTGCACTTATTGTTACGGTTTAATAATAAATGTAAACTTTAGCACATTTTAAAACTTATCTTTTAATGAATATTGTATTCTTCATGGAAGCTAATTCAGAAAACTCAAGTATATAGTCAGCTTTGACTATATACAACTTTGGCTAAGGCATTCATTCAAAATTAAGTTCATAATGACTCAGAGTCATCTGCGCTTATTTGGGCTAAAGTGTGTGTCTCCCACCTCTGCACTATTTCATATTCCTTCACTTACAGATTTCAAATAAGCAATGGTAGTAAAGAACTTGAGTTACTTAAATTCCATCATTCTATATGAGACCACTTGGAGATTTTACTTACATAAATTTTAAAACAGTTAAGTTTAAAAACAGAGCATAGGCCAGGTGCAGCGGCTCATACCTGTAATCCCAGCACTTTGAGAGGGTGAAGCAGGTGGATCTCCTGAGGTCAGGAGTTCGAGACCCTCCTGGCTAACATCGTGAAACCTCATGAAAAATACAAAAAAAATATTAGCCAGGCATGGTGGCGCACACCTATAATCCCAGCTATTTGGAAAGCTAGAGAGAAGAATTGCTTGTACCTGGGAGGTGGAGGTGGCAGTGAGCCAAGATCACACCACTGCACTCCAGCCTGGGAGACACAGGGAGGCTCTGTCTCAAAGTAAAATAAAAAAAAAAATAGAGCATTAACTATGAGAAGTAACAGTTTTGTTTAGGAAGTACAAAGTTAAGTTCACCTGGAAAACATTGAATTTGAAGAGTATTTATTAAATGGAAAAATTTAACAATTAAATCTAATTAACAATTTAAAATTTAATTGACAATTTAAAAATTTAGTTGTTAATTATTTATTGTAAGACCAAAGAACAAATTAAGAAAATAATAGCTTAGCTGTTTCTAACTGTTACACGGTTATTACTCAAAGTAATTTTATCATATGAAAAAAGAGGCGGTGTTAATAAATTATTCACTCTGGGTGTTCAACACGCGAGGCGAGGCGTAACACTGAGAAATAAAAAACCTTTCGGCAGTGGTGGGGCTGTGGTGATGACATTTGAAATTTTAAGGGCCAGTTTTCTCTACCCACAAGATGTTCTCTGATGACTTTCACTACTTCCTGGGAGGCCAAAGAGCAAGGCCAAAAGCTTCTAAAAAGCAGAGGGAAATTTCCCACAGTATCACAATACAGTCATCCCTTGGTATCAATGGGGCACTGGTTCCAGGATCCACCTCCTGCCTGCCACGGATACCAAAATCTGAGGAAGCTCAAGTTCCTTATATAAGCTACATGCATACGTCTTCCGATATACTTTAAATCATCTCTAGATTAGTTATAATACCTAATCTGATGGAAATACCACGTAAATAGTTACGGCTCTATTGTCTTTTATTTGTGTTTTTTAAATTGTTGTATTATTTTTTATGGTTTTTCTTTTCTAAATATTTTTATCCAGAACCTGTTGAATCTGCAAATGTGGAACCCATAGGTCTCAAGGGTTTGCTATGCTTAAGAAAGAAGACCGTCCAGGAAAATGGGGATAGCAAAGTAGAAACAGGAGAACCAGAGAGGAAAGTACCGAAGTGAACGGGGAATATTAGTGTGAGAGTGCCCAACTCCGCCTGGTTTGCCTGGGGCTATTTCAGCCTTTTTTTTTTTTTTTTTTTTGAGGCAGAGTTTTGCTCTTGTCCCCCAGGCTAAAGTGCAATGGGACTATCTCAGCTCACCCACAACCTGTGCCTCCCGGGTTCAAACGAGTCTGCTGCTTCAGCCTCCTGAGTAGCTGGGATTATAGGCACCCGCAACCACATCCAGCTAATTTTGTATTTTTAGTAGAGACGGGGTTTCACCATGTTGGTCAGGCTGGTCTCGAACCCCTGACCTCATGTGATCCGCCCGCCTTGGACTCCCAAAATACTGAGGCATGAGCCACCGTGCCTGGCGCTATTTCTGTTTTAAAGCAGAAAGTCCTGTGTGCCAAGAATCTGCTCAGTCCCAGGCAGACTAGCTTGGTTGGTTACCTCCATGAACACAGAGGATCAAGGACTCTTTCCCCTGAGAGCATTTGCTTATCCAGGAATAGCTGGCAGCTGAGATCTCAGGACTGGATCCTAGGAGAAGAAAACTGTTGGGGAAGTGAGGAATCAGCAGAGATGTAGACATTCAATCAGAACAGCTGTGAGCAGTTGGAGACTGAGGGGTCACCAGCACAGGGATAGATTCCCCCTTAAGACATTTGTTAAAGTTGAAGTTGTGCAGGCAACAGACTAAAGAGCTATACTGAAAACCTCTGAAGGGCAGAACAAAATCTTCGTAAGCCTAGCAAAACTGAGGATAAACATATCTGCTAGCCTTTCAGTTAAAAACACTAGAGGGCTGTGCCCAGAAACAGGGCAAATCAGAGGCACACTAGACCTTACTGACCCTGCAGCCTCACAACTGCAAATACAAGTGCTTGTTGGATTGAGGTGATCAGCACTCCACCCTATCAGAGTAAAGGCCATTGTGCTTTCCTCTGGCAGACAATAACTTAATGTAATATTCTACCATTTATTATTTCCAACATAACATTTAAAAGTAGTAGACGTGTGAATATGCGAGATGCTATGAAATAAAAAAAACAGACACTAGAAGAAGAACCACAGTTGACAAAGTTATTAGAATTAGCAGGCAAGGACTTTCAATAACTATGATTTTTAACAAAATAGATTAGAAGATGAAGAATTTCACCAAAAAAAAATGGAGGCTATTTTTTAAAACAATCAAATGTACATTTTGGAAGTGAAAATAAAATATTTGAAATTAGGAACTCAACGGATGCAGACTTTTTAAATGACAGAGGAGTGAATCCTCCTACAGATAACAAATATAAACACTAGATAAAACAAAATCCATCTAAAGATGCTAGAGATGAAATTGACCCCAAAAGATGTAATTAAAAGTGATAGAAATTGCAGTTTGTGACTTTCTAACTTGAGGATACTCCCCAAACCTCAGAGCTGTATATATAATATATATTATATACATACAATACATACATGTTATATATACATGTAATTTGACTAGTACAAATATCTAGGACTAGTACAAATATCTAGGAATGACCACATGAGTGGTCATTCCAATCCTAGATTAGAATAGAAATAGAGTGGTCATTCATATATCTTTTCATGTGCTTATTTGCTATTTACTATATCTTCATTGGATGCTTGAAAAGATATTCAATATCATTATTCATTAGGGAAATAAAAATTAATATCACAATAATGTGCTACTGTACACTTATGAAAATGACTGAACTTTAAAAACGAAACTGACCATACCAAGTGTTGGTAAAGACATGGTGCGGGGGAACTCTAATACACTGTTGATGGGAATGTGAATGGAACAACAACTTTGGAAAAAAGTCGAGCCACTTCCAGAAATTTAAACATATACCTACCATATGATACAGTTATTACACTCCTGGATAGCTGAATTAGTCAGGGTTCACCAGAGAAATAGACCAAAATATTTCTAAATTTATATTTATACACATAAAGATTTATTATAAGGAAAGTGATTTATTATAAGGACTCACACATTTATGGAGGCTGAGAAGTCCCAAATCTGCAGTCAAGAAGGTGGAGACTCAGGAGAGCCAATGTATGGTTCCACTTCAAGTCCTAAGAGAGCAGAGGTTTCAGTCTGAGTCCAAACACCAGTAAAAACCAAGGGTCCAGCTCAAGCATTCAGGCAAGAGGAGTTCCCTCTTACTCAGCCTTTCTGTTCTATTCACATCTTCAGTGGGTTGAATGAGGTCCACCCACATAATGGAGGGTGATATGGTTAGGATATTTGTCCCATCTAAATCTCAGGTTGAAATGTAATCTCCAGTGTTGAAGGTGGGACCTGGTGGGAGGTGTCTGGGTCATGGGGACAGATCTCCTGTGAATGGCATGGTGCCATCCCTATGGTAATGAGTTCACATGAGATCTGGTTATTTAAAAGAGCCTGGCACCCCACCTGTCTCTTGCTTCCTATCCCACCACGTGACCACTTGCTGACCCTTTGCCTTCTGCCATGACTGTAAGATTCCTAAGGCCCTCACCAGAAGCAGATGCCAGCACTGTGCTTCTTGTACGGACTGCAGAATCCTAAGCCAAAATAAACCTCTTTTCTTTATAAAGTACCCAGTCTCAGGTACTCCTTTATAGCAACATAAGTGGACTGACAGAGAGGGAAATCTACTTTACTCAGTCTGCCGACACAAATGTTATCATCCAGAAACACCCACACAGATACACCCAGAAAACTGTCTGGCTAAATATCTAGGCAACCTGTGGCCCAGTGACGCTGACACAACTTAACCATCACAGTATTTACCCAAGAGACAAAGCACGTGTACCTATATGGACTTGTACATAAATGTTCACAGCAGCTTCATTTGTTATAGCTCAAAACTGAAAACAACCCAAATGTCCATCAACATGTGAAAGGATAAAAAAATTGTGGTATAACCACACAATGAAATATTATTCAGCAAAAAAAAGCGAGAAACGAATTGTTGATCCATAAAACATATGAATGAATCTCAAAATAATTCTTCTATATGAAAGAAGCCAGAAAATAAAAAGAGTATGTACTATATGAGTATAGTACAGACTGTATTTATATAATCCATAGTGACATAAAGGAAATCTGTGATTGCCTAGAGTTGGAGAGTTGGGGTGGAAAAGTAGGAGAGAAAAACTAAGAAGGAGCACAAGGAAAATTTGGAAATGATGACTATGTTCATTATCTTAACTGTGGTGATGATTTCACAGGTAAATAAATATATCAAAACTTATCAAATTGTGCTCCTTAAAAATCAGTAGTATATTGTATGTCTGCTGTAACTCAGTAAAGTTATTAAACAAGCACAACCTATTACAATATGTGGCATGTTGGTAAAATAGTGGTTAGAGGGAAATTCATAGATTTAAATGTTTATATGAGAGAGAGTTCAAACTCAATTATTTAAGCTCTCATAATTATCTACAAAAAGGAGGACAGATTAAATATAAAATAAGAATGGCATAATGATCAATAAAATGCAATTTAAAAAGTAAAAAAAAAAGTCAAAAAATACAAAACAGTTGAATACCAAAGAAAATCAATGAAGCCAAAAGCTCATTATTTGAAAAGATCAAGAAAGCTGGTAAACCTGAAGTCAAACTCTGCATGGAAAAAAGAAAGATGGTACAAGTTATTAATATGGAGAACATAAGTGGAGACATCACAACAGATCCTACAGACATCCTAAAGACTCAAATTGCCAAACTTGGCATTAGGAAAAAAAATAGAAATCTGAATAATCTTACATGTAGAAAAGAAATTGAATTTGTAATTTAAAAACCTTCCCACAAAGAAAACTCCAGGAAAAGACTGCTAAACTGATTAATTCTATCATACATTTAAGGAAGAAATAATACCAGTTTTACACAAACCCTTTCAGAGTAGAAAGGTTAGAATAAACAAATAGAACATGATTTCATGAGGCCAGTATTACCCTGATATCAAAAGTAGATGAGGAAAATACAGAAAAAGAACATTGCATGCCATTATTTATGACAAACATAGGTGCAAAGGTTCTGAGTGCAGCAATATATTAGAAGATAATACATCATAACCAAGTGAGGTTTAACCCAGGAATACAAAGTGACCTAACATCCCAAAATTAAACAACGCAATTCATGATTTTATGAGAATAAAGGAGAAAACTTCATATGATTGTTTCAACGGATAGAGAAAATTATTTTGAAATTTAGCGGCCATTTGTGATTAAAAAAAAAAAAAAAACTTCCAACAAACTGTAGATAGAAAAAACCCTTGTCAAATTTACAAAGAGCATGTAAAAAAAAATCCACAACTAACAAAATTAATGCTGGAATCGTTTTCATTCTCTCTAAGATTGGAATTGAGACAAGAATGTCTACTCTTACCACTTTGTAATTTAACGCTGTTCTAGCTATCATAGCCACTGAAATAAGTTAGGAAAAAGAAAAAGAAATAAAAGGCATACAAACTGGAAAGAGAGAAGTATAGCTGTTTTTATTTGCTGTCCTTATAATGAGTGAATTTAGCAAAAATCAATAGTATTTTTACACACTATCATTGAACAACTAGAAAATAAATTTTTTAAATGCAATTTTAATTACAATATCACATAAACATGTAAAATGTTTAAGAATAATGTAATAAATCTATGTAAAACTTGTACTCTAAAATCATATAACATTAATATATAAATTATAAAACTATAAAATTAAAGCTTTATGAAATGTATAAAAATTATATAACTTATTTTAAACATTTATAGTTTTGTGTAGTTTAATATAGTAATTATTTAAATGTAAAGGAAATAAATATTTCAAATAGAAGGCAAAGATTGTCAGACTCAGTTAAAAATAAAAGTATATGCTGGTTATAAGAGACATTTTAAATATAACCATATAGAAAGATTGAAAATACAGAAATGTAAAAAGATGTGCTAGGTAAACATTAACCAAAAAGGAAGCTGGTTCAGCCATTTCAATATCAAAGTAGATACTGAAGGCAGAAAGTAAAACTGAAAATATGGAAGAGTAAATCCAAGAGGAAAATGAGTCACAATCCTGAACCAGTATGCAGTCAGTGGCACAGCTTCAAATTTTATAATGTAAATATTAAATTGAGAGAAATAGATATATGCATAATAATGTGGAAATAATTTAACACATCCTTCTCAATAACTGATAGAGCAATAAAATTAAAACCCAGCAATGACAAAGATCAGAATAACACAGTTAACTTTGAATGGACTGACAAATAGAGAACATCACATCCAACAATGATACATTCTTTCTACATCTACATGTAAACTTTACCAAAGTGACTAAATGCTGGATCAAAATTTGGAGTATTTTCTCTGAGCCCAAAAGAAACACTAATTAATACCAAATGAATCACCAAGAAATCCCCAATTGCTTAGAAATTAAACAATATACTACAATCTCTGCATCAAAAATCAAGAAGAAAAATTAAAATTATTTCAATTAATGATACTGAATCTATGGCATATCAAAACATGAGATGCAGGCAAAACAGAGAATACAGGAATCTTATATTGTTAAAAAGAAAGACAAAAATTAATAATTTAATCTTCTATCTCAAAGAGTTAGAACAAGACTAAATCAAATGCAAAGAGGGTAGAAGAAAGGAAATAATACAGATACAGAGAGCAGAAATTAAATAAAAGTGTTCAAAACGAAACAGTAATAATGCCAGAAGTTAGTTTATAAACTTGTTAATGTTAATAAACTTGACAAATTTTAGGCAAGAGCAATTAAGAAAAAAGGAGAGAGAAACCTGTCAATACTGTAAAAAATAATGAGAGACATCATTTCAAATTCTATAGATGTCTAAAAGATAATAAGATATCGTAAAGAGTTTAAACTAATAAATTTGACAGCTTGAATTGCAATGGACAAATTCCTAAAAAAAAAAATCCACTTTTGCAATGCTAACAAAAGAATAAATTAAAAACCTGAACAGTCCAAAATCTATCAAAAAGTTTAGCATATTATTTAAAATTTCTCATAAGAAAACCTCAAATCTAGATAAATTCAGTCAACTCTTCTTTATATTTAAGGAAAAAATAACACTAATTTTCCACAAACTATTACAGATAGTATTTTTTTTATTTTTATTTTTTGCCAAGCTAGAGTATGGAACAGATAGTATTTTTTAAAACACTTCCCAATATCATTCATGGGGCCAGAATAACTTTGATCTTGAAACCAGAAAAGCACAAGAAAGGAAAATTACAAACCAGGCTTTCTCGTGAACTTACAGGCAAAAAGCCCAAACTTAATTTTGCAAATCAAATCAGTGATAAATAAAAGCTATGATACATCATGACTAATTGATGTTTATTCTAGAAATACAATAATGAAAATCAAGTAGTGCAATTTTCCACTTCAACAAGACAGAGAACAATTATATAATCACCTCAGTAGATATAGAGTATCATTTGACAAAATTCAATGAACATTTATGGTGAAAGCTTTTACGTAGAAATAGTGGAGAATAATCTTTAATTTGGTAAAAAACAAATGAAATAAAGAGCAAATTTTATTCTTAATGGTGAAACACGGAAAGGTTTTCCCACAAAATGAGAAACTAAACAGGAATGCCTACTATCACCAAGCATTATCTCCTTCTATTCAGCACGTACTGTGTATTCTAGCCAAAACAGTAGGAAGGAATAAGTAATTGATGGCTTAAGGACTGAAAGTGAAAAAATAAACTTGTCTTTATTCACTGGTAATATGATTGCATATGTAGAAGATCCAAAAACAGCTTTAAACTATTAGCATTACCAGTTTAATTTAACAGTGTTACTGGATACAGGATCAATATACAAAGATCAATTTTATTTCTATATATCAGCAATAAACAAATTAAAAATAAAATTTAAGAGAATCATAAAACTATAATAACATAAAAAATATCAGATACCTAGAAATAAACTTAATGAACCAAGTTAGCTACAGTAAAAACTACAAAACATTATTGAAAGTGAGAGATGAAAAGAGGGACTGTTTCGTAAATTGTGCTGGGACAACTGGATGCGTATCTGAAAAATAAATAAATTAGATCCCTA